AAACTTCCTAAAAATGTAATTCACGCTTTGTTTTGACGTCTAAATTAATCATTTAAAATTCTTCAGAGCAATTTCGAGTTACTGAGGTTTATATGATTTGCATAATAACTTCAGACGGACTGTATGTGTAAAGTCCTATTGAAGATGTTGAGAGTGGTGGAGAGCTTCTTGTTAGGTTGTTCGAATTAGCAACTTAGGAAATGTGTATGCTGTTTTCATGCAACGCATGGTTCGCCGAAGGCTAATAACTCCTCTGGGGGAAACAAGAAACTTGTCTCTACAACATCTATTGTGTAGAGAGATTTTACCTGTCCTCCGATTGACCAGTCAACACAATCCCCAAACTAATCAATGTAAAAAAAAACAAAAAAAACTGCCTATTTTCAATCGTCTGTCTCTGAACCCAGCTGCAAAACGGTTGATTCTCCGACTTGATTTCCACTGTCAAAGACACGGTGAGATCCACAACGATAGCAGTTGGAAAGTACAATTATGTCACCCCCTCCCACGGCAATCAGCGCACTGTCATCGAAAGAAAACAAAAAAATCTCCCACCGAAAATGATTTCCGCTTATTTATTTATTTATTTTACTTTTTAATCAAATAAAATTATTTTTCTTCATCAAGAATTAAATATTTAAATTGAAATAATATGCAACATGAAGTTGGTGTGCAGGTGGTGTAACGGATATCGGCACGGAAAATGGAATCTGTAATTCGAGTTCGAAATCCGGCCGAGTCTTTTAGATCACTTTCCCATGAATGCCTTTTGGAAAGTCATGCTCCTATCTCTTCTCCACCATCATCTCACCGGCTTTGACTTAAGAGTGGACTCTATATTTTTGGGTAGCTATCAGTCTACAAAAAAATGTTAAATTCCAAAACATGGAGACGTCTTTCCCATGAAGCCATGACAGTTCGTAAATCATAATTTAGTCATTTATGTGCCATCACGCATGACACATAACTGAAGTAGATTCATACCTTTCCTAAGGTTATTACCATGTAAGTGAATGTAATGAATTCGACTCTCCGATTCCTCAATTCAGGCCGCTATCCATTACTCCACCGTGCCATCATAAAGCTTGGAAAAGCTATAATCGCCTACAAGCTGAAAGAACATATTAGTAAAAAAAAAAAAAAATTGTCTAACAGGGGAAATAACTGCGTTATTTTTTTACGTGTTACTTCCCTTGTTTAGTCAATTTTGAACAATTGTTTCGACTTTAAAAATACTGCATCAATATTTAACTTTCATTTGTTTAATGGGGGAAAATGATATATTCCAATGAAGTTCTAAAGTACGGAATACATCACACGAAATAGAATTCCCCTTTTTGTCATTTATTTTCTCAATATATATATATATATATATATATATATATATATATATATATATATATATATATATATATAGTTAGTTTATGCAAATTTAGGTAATCCGTATTGGTAGACCTGAGGAGGATGATATCCAGAGAGCTCAATGTAAAATTCAGAGCAGATATGTTTGAATAAAAGACTGACCACGTTAAGATTCCATGTAATAAGCTATTTCACCATAACCCCTTTAACAGGATTCTGGATCATCAGACTTTACTTCCAAAAGCTGAAATGAAAAATGAAAAGAAATTCACACGTTTTTTTCGGACCTCATCAAGTATACGCAAAGCTAACGAAGTGAGGAAGTGAGGTGGGAGAGAGGATATGAGTGTGTCATATGTATCATTTTAGTTTCCTATTTTACAATCACGAGTTTACTTAATGAACAAAAATCAAACGAATAAATGTCAACCTAACAAGCTATAAGATAAAAGTTTTAGTGGAAAATGTACTAAATATAAATTGGATTACTCTTTCAATGTTCTGTCTATGGATTTTTCCAATCGACTGCTTCATAGAAAATACCCCAAACTCCACCGAATTTCAAATTAATTTCTTCGTAGATTGTTTTAAAATTTAGATATTTATCAAACCTTAACCTCCCAAATATGCGCGTTAAAGTAACGCGAACTGACAGCGTCTAAGAATTTGAATGAAACCTGTCGTGTAATTTATTGGTGTTGTTTTCCTTAATGTAGTCCTTATCGCTCACCCCTTAACCACCTTTATCTAGAGACGAGAGGCGTAAGATTTGAGCAACATCCAGCCGGCACACTGGGGTTAAAATAGGAAACTAAAATGATACATATGACACACTCATATCCTCTCTCCCACCTCACTTCCTCACTTCGTTAACTTTGCGTATACTTGATGATGTCCGTAAAAAACGTGTGAATTTCTTTTCATTTTTCATTTCAGCTTTTGGAAGTAAAGTCTGATGATCCAGAACCCTGTTAAAGGGGTTAGGGTGAAATAGCTTATTACATGGAATCTTAACGTGGTCTGTCTTTTTATTCAAAAAAAAAAAAAAATATATATATATATATATATATATATATGTGTGTGTGTGTGTGTGTGTGTGTGTGTGTGTCTGTACATATGTATGTATGTGTTTAGAAAAGACTTTAGTAAGAAGATACAATGAAAGTACATTGATCTACCATGTGGTTATGTAGTGATGTCCAAAAATTCGCTAAAAAAGAGCACACCCCGATGAAAAAAAGCCCTAAGTTTGATTTTTAAAAATTGTATTGTCTAAATGTTTATGTCATTATTAAGAGGAAAGACCAAAGTATTTTTTGAGTATTTTTTAATCCTTTCTAGCACGTCCGAATTTTTAGCTAAAAATCTTGTTTTTTGTTTTGTTTTTTTTTTTTTGTTTTTTTGAGTCATCAAAATTGACGTAATATCAATCATGTCATCCAATATTGACAATTTTATAATTAAAAATGAAATTCCCCGTTTAAAAGTATTGGAAATTTCAATTATACCTTTTGCAAAAGTTATTTTAGGAAAATTAGAAAATTTAAAGTATACTTAATATAATTTGAAAGAAACATTACTTACTTTTAAGAGAGACATGTCCAACTGTGGTGATTGTTTTTGGGTGGTGTGAATTGACGTAATGCATCGACAACTTACATTAACTTGCGTCAGGGGAATTTATCGGATGGTAGGACAGAAGTGACAAAATTTGTGCTAATGGGGAAATAACTCTAGCACACGTGATATTTTCTTCAGAAATGTGCATCGATAGTTTTGCCGGAGACGATTTTAATACATTTTTGGCATAATAAAAAATTATTTCAAAAATAGATGCATATAATAGATTTTAATAAACTTTCTAATTTATGATTTGTAAAAATAGACCTTATAAAAAAATTATTCTTTTTTTAAATACATATATAAATCCCGATTATTTTTTTTAATTTTAATTGCCAAATATAATTTAAAAATTCATAAATTAAAAACACTGTAATCTCAGCATAATATATAACTACACAAGTGTTGTGATAACCAGATATATTATAATTCAAAATTATGTAACGGTCAATCCAAACTCATCACTCGATGATTACGTTTTGAATGAAACTCCGAATCGTGCGAATGGTGAGGGATGATATGTATATTTATTAATATATACTTAATAGTTAAAAAATTTTAAAAAATAATGTTTCAGCATTATCTTTTTCTTGTCAATGCACTTAATTCATTGGTAAATAGCAATTACATCGTTAAAATTTTATAAACTGAATATTTCTGATCATATTCTGCTTATAACGCTGAAACAAGCTACGGATTTATTGATCAACTTTTGTCTTTTTTGTTGAAAGTGTTGTGATTTCTACTAAATGCTCATACGTAGACCCCCTCCTCCTCCTAATCGGAGTCATTATATAGACTGAGTATTCCGGATAAGTTAATTAGTTAATCTGCATATCACTACAGAGAGTCAGATGGGTACATTCTTTGGAACTTAGAATAAAGGACCATGTTAAAAAGAAAATAATTCTATTCGATTTCTTGTCTCGTGGGAAGGAAAAATAAGACATTTTTTTGTATTAATTTATATTTAAACCAAGTGGGCTTACGGGTTTATGGGTTAATTAGTAAGATTTATATCACTAAAACCATTACTAACTCCCTAAAAAATTGTTACAATCTAAAAAAATTTTCTGATTTTTAATTACCTGCAAAGCCGTAGAAAACGAATCAATCTATTAAATCAAGTGCTTCTTATGGCACAGACAAACAGTGATGTGCAGAGGTTGGGTGATGTTTGTTGATGCCCGGTGACAACTCCTTGATTGTATGCCCCCCCTAAGACTCAAGTAGGGGGGGGGCTATAGGGCCTAGTACTGAGAAATGTTATAAAGGAAGATATTTTAAATATGTAAAACAGGTGAAACATGAAATAAGCACTTTATTCAAATTAAATATTAACTAAATTTTTATTTCACTCTTTAATTGGACGCCCTCCCAACATGGATGTCCAGGGCCGCTGCACCCTCTGCTTCCATTTCTGCACGCTATTGCATACAAGATTATTAACCAAAAGGCTGTTGGTTTTAATCACTTCTAAATATGTTTTGTAGGCTTTTAATTATAATATCTCTTAACTTCTCAAAGAAATTACATTTTTTAACGGCTTTAAAAATTATTTGAGTCGCTCGTGAAAAATTCTCGCCTCCCCGACCCCGAATGATTGTGTGAGGTAGCCTTGCACAAATAACTTTACTTGATAAAGAAACCTGCAGTTCGAAAAAGTCCACTTTTTTATTTCTTTTCGAACGAACATTACGATCCGGCCTTCTTCGTCTTTTCTTCGTGGTAACATAAGCCGGCGCGCTACAACTTCGACAAACAGCGACGAGCAAGAATCGACGCCCGGCTCGTTAGGTTATCTAACACGAATTCTTTAAAAGGATCCTTTCAATAAAAAAAAAAATAAAATAAAAAAACAAAAATAACAACAAAATGACAAGCATTTTTATTCGTTTTGGCGATATCATGATAGTTTTAACTGATGAATTGTTTCGTTTCTATCTATTTCTTCCATTTCAATTCGCATCTGTGGGTGAAAGGTCAAATGTCACACCAGCTACTCATAAGTCTGTTCATCATTGTGCTTCTTTTTCACTATATTCACATAACAATCCGAAACGACATATGCGCACCAATTTATCTGCCGAAAAAAAAAGGATATATGCCAGTTAGGTATAATAATAATAATAATAATTAATAAACCGAGAAAGAAAAGATTAGACAGGTCTGGGTGGGAAAGATGATCTACGAGGAACAATGCAAGTATTTCGAGCATACAGATCAAACTGTATATGCTCAAACTAGAGAAGGAAATATATAAGTTTCAAACAAACCCCCAACTCGAATCCAAGTCAGAGTTGTTAAAAAAAAAGAAAGAAAAGACTCCAGATAATGGATGTCACTGTTCCAAAAGGCTATAGAGTGAGCCTAAAGCAAAGTGAAAAATACCTTTGCCAGAGAGAGAAGAAGTCGTGGAATATGAAAATGAGAGTGGGGACAGTTGTTATCAGAGCACTAGGAATAGCTCCGAAGAAAATGGAAGTTGCTGGAAATCAGGAAGAGATTCGAGACAGCTAGATATTGAGAAGGATTCTGAAGTATTAAGGAAACTTTCTATCACCTAGCGACCAGTGAAAAACATCAGTTACTGATAATATGAAGCCCCAAAAGAAATAATAAATTGACATCAGTTTGATGTATTTTTCTTTCTGATATATATATATATATATATATATATATATATATATATATATATATAAAAAAAGAACATTGAAAACACTTAGAGGCGACAGTCTGTTTCATGCTAGACGCAATCGTCAGGTGTGTGTATATATATATATGTGTGTGTGTGTATATGTGTGTGTGTGTGTGTGTGTGTGTATGTGTGTGTGTGTGTGTGTGTGTGTGTAAGCTATATATAAAAAGTCAGTTTTAATTGGTAAGCTAAGGGAATTTCAATTGTTAATTAAAAAATTATAATTTTAAAAATTTAAAAAAAACTATCAATTATAATTAGCAAGCTACAGAAATAAATGAAAAACAGTTATAATTGATAATATATATATATATATATATATATATATATATATATATATATATATATATATCAATGTTATATCGGAATTTCTACCGATATTTTAACTTAAGTATTAAGATTCATCATTCAAATAGGAAAATCCGCTTCGTTAAATATTTGAGCTTAACAATTTTAAAAATAACAATGATAAATATGAATGCTGGTTGTTATTTTAAGAAGTGGGTACAAATGAAAAAAAATGAAATTGACAATTTTTTTCATTTCACTGTCGTTAAACATATAATTGCCTTTTCTATTTTATCTTTCTTTCATTTTCTCACAAAAACCAAGTCGCATCTCTGATATGTCTTTTCCATCTTTCCAAGCGATAAAAAAGGAATAGTTCATTATTTATGAGGCATTGACAGGGCGTAATTTTCTTTCTTTCATTATCACACTGTAACCAAGTTGCGTATCTCATATGTCTTTTCCGTCTTTCCACGCGATCAAAACGGAATAGTCTATTATTTATGACGTCTTGGCAAGGCGTAACGGTCGTATGTACCAAGGAACTAAGCACGGGACAAGCAGAATTCTAATAAAATTTTTAAAAATGGAATAAAAATGAACATGCTTAACCCGATTTATGTTCAGCAGCGGATCCCGATTTAAGGAGTAAGTGAATCATGTGAGATTTACCGTTAATACGAGTTAAGCATTCCCATCGAAATTGTCGTTCGTGGAAGATGTAATAGATCGGTAGACCAATAAATATTGTTCCGATGGCGACGAATGTCATAAGCGGACTGGCGACCAGTGACATAAAAAATAAAAGGATTCCTAACACGAGGAAAGTCACAGGAAAAATTGTGTGCACCTACAAAAGACAAAAGTACAAAATATTCATTACGTTGTAATAAATATGGCGACAAAGATGAGGACAATAGTCCGAATAATGTAAATAACAATCATTTTTAATTGTATTATTTTTTTATTATTATTATTATTGCAACAAATGACGCAGAACTTATTTCGATTAACCGCGTTACTTAGAGCGATTACTTTGCTACTTATGTAAATGTAAAAATTGTCTTAGTTGGCAATAGTATAGAGTGCTGTAGAAATACATTCCATATAACGGTAAGACTTTCGCTAAACGTAGACACAGTTCTTTTCTTTTTCTTGCTTTGCTTATTGCAGACTTTGTCAATTCTGTTTGTTGGACAGTTCTGTTACTTATTTTGCATTTGACCATGGCTACCCCACCCCAAACTTACCATTATGTGGCAGGTATTTCTGGGATGTATATGTGGGAGATATTTCCGCCGCACCCGGTAGAAGTGACAGATGGTTATAAAAAGGCTAATTTTCTAAAATTATGCACTGATTATTGCTTACGCCATCTAATAATTGTAAGTAAAATGATGAACTAAAATATGTAAGTAATCATGTCAATTTCTATGAATATCCGTGCCTTATGTTTTCTCTTTATTCTGTCGCGTTAGATGAACACCGGAAATCAGTTCAAGGGAAATAACTCAATTTGACTTAACACGGTCTAGCGGTCAGTTTATAGTTTTATTTTTTTAAGAGGAAGATAATTGTTGACTCTAGACTTGCACAGGTTAAGATTGTAGTGATCCGGGAAACATCCTCTTGGGAGTCTGTTCCACATATCAGTGTTTCGCGTGGAGAAGCTGTTTGAGTGGAACTTACTTCTCGCTGATAGAATACGATGAGAGTGGGAGTGGTTTGTTACAATGTAAGTGGCATGGTGGGTCTTTAGCCGTGAACCTTAGACCTGGCGGAACCAAGGAGTTTAGCTCGGGCGAGCACTTTCCATGGAAATAGCGATAGAGTAGTGAGAGGATCGCCTATGGTAGAGAGGCTTGATGGCGGAAAATAATTTTTCTCTCAGAAGGACTTGGAGACTCTTCTGAACTCTATCAAGACCGGAAAGTGAGGACTCGGTAGCTCCCGTCCAATACTCTATTTCAGGAATGATATGGCTCTTAAAAAGGTAAAGGATAGCATGAGGAGTCAGGTACTTACTGGAGGTAAAGGCTATCATGAGGCTTTTACTATAACTATTTGAAAAATAACTACCGTATCGTTTTTAGTTTTAAAAATAATTACTGTATTTAACGGCATATAAGGCGCACTTTTTTTCTGAAAATATCTTTTTAACTCCCCCGCGTCTTATATGGCATATGTAGGTTTAAAATTCGCGATAGTCGGCCGAAATTAGCTACCTGGCAACTCTTATTAGCTTTCACGTTGGAGTAACTTTCATATACCTATTGTCACTATTTAAAAGGCAGATTACCCGCTCGGCCCGGTGGCTCGGATCAAAGTGTAGTATCTGTGCTTTGTGAGCTGCCAGGTCGGGTGTCTGTCGAACTCTCTGCTTGCAGAGAGGAACCCAGACGAAGCTCCGCCGAAGGGTAGGGTTTCGTTGGGGAGGTTGATTTGAACTGGCCCGCCTCGGCGGGTTTGATAGTTATTTATTTTTGGCTGGGCCTACGGGCTCAGAGATACCCACATTAAAAAGGCCTTGTGCCACATTCGATCCCCGTGGGTGGATTGATAAATACCATTTAAAAGGCAGATTAAAAGTGTTACCATTAATAATATTCTTTATATTAATGTCATCACGTTTAATATTAGTACTTTGTTTCACTAAAATTATATTCAATAAATTCAAGTTATGTATTTGTAAAATATATTTGTTTCATCAATATTTTTCTTCCGGTTGCATTGGTATAAATACAATCAGAATTTTTATATCGTAATCATATAAAGGGAAATTTTTGACTGAATTTTAATGGTAACTGTACTGTTTTGCTTAATTGTAATAATTGCTTGATTTTTATTTTGTTTTCTTACATTTGGATATAATAAAGTTTTTATAGGCTCATGTTCTTTTTCCTATTATTTTTCGTTTAATTGTAATCATGAGTTGTTTAACCAAAATAATACCCCATAAAAATAGCCTAGGCTGTACATTTACTAATAATTTTACTAATTACTATTTTTTTTATTTGCTTTGCTGAAATTGGGGTGCGTCTTATACACCGTGCATCTTATATGCCGTCAAATACGGAAAGATTGATTTTTTTAAAACTACGAATTATCAAAGGGGAAATAATTTTAGCAGCTAAATGTATTTAAAGCTACACGAAAACATTCCAATAAAACAGTTTTTACTAAGGAGGTGTCATTTGAATTATATTTAGCGGTTTTGAGTTAATAATTAGGGAATTATTTAACCGAAATTTTCAACACATTGAATTATGTACCCTTTTGCGCTAATACCCGTTGGAAATACATTTCTTCCCCCTTCTAAGGTTTAAATAACAGTAATGGCTAGGCTCACTTACTTTGAAACGACAACCAGTCTAGGAGAAGGAAATCTCTGAATACAAAACCAACCTGAAGAATAATGGGCACCTATCTTACCATAGACACACCACTACTGCCATGGCTACTGTACATGCGAAAACTTAATAGGTTTCGGGGTTCATGTACGTGACGGAATTTAGTTTTAAGATTTTGATTTTAGTAGATTTTGAATAGGTGGAGAAATCCGGTATTTTCAGTATAAATCTTTAACAGATAATCTGGGGTACTATTGTGGCAAACTGGTCCGCTCGTAAAAAAATAAATTGTTTCCAGCTATGGTACCATAATCTCACGAATTGCATGATGTCACAGGTGGAGTAATTTGAAGGTAACAACAGCAAAATAATGATCTGGTAAGCAAATATTGTTTTCACGGGGGTATACTGGAAATTAACTTGTCACAACTTGTGGATATTAACTAACAGATCGCGACATCTGTCAGAGAGATGAAATTTAAATTTTTATTATTGCATTATTCCAAAATTATGACACATCATCAGATAGCTATTAATGTCAACAACTGAGTATAAATAGTCATTAATTAAAAACAAATTAGTAATTAATGTATAATATTATCCATAACTATATGTACAAGAATGTCGTTTTTGATAAAAGTTTAAAAAAAAAATAACCATAAATACATAAAAAAAGCGTATATTTTCGAAAATTCCTTTTTCCACAATATAGATATTTGTGCTATGTTAAAATGCTTATTACCTAAACAATAATAATAATGAATATTTTTTTAAACATTAAAATATATTTAACCACATCTAATAACTGCCGCGATCTGTAAATATCAGTTAAAAGGATAATTTTTTATTTAACCATTTGTCTTAAAAGACGTTAATCTCGACATGAGTAGATTCTAGAAATTAAAGAAAATTATTCTTGAGAATGTTTAATTTTTTTATGTCTTCATCATCAAGCTTACTTCAGCATGCTTTATTTACGTCGGGTGCTGAAAAGTTATTGGTCCAAGCAAGAAGCCCTTCAAAAATAAGAAAAAAAAATGATGTTTGATCATTAGGTCAGATTTTAGTAAGACCAAGAATTTTTATCAGTCTTTCGTAAAAAGAAGCCATGGAAATAATTACGTTACTATTTCAAACCTAATTTTCTAAAAGAAATAAATATTGTACACCGATTTATTAGAACTAGTGTCCTCATCTTGCTTATTAAAACTATAATGCACCACCAATCTTACGGCAACTGATGATACGGTACCTCTTTTAGTTCAGACAAAATTACGATATCAAACAAATGAATTTCACACTTTTACCAGACAAGTTAACGTGACGACCACACGCGACGCTGTGTGTGGCTCGCTTAATTGTTAAAAGTTGGCAGTCTTTTTGATTTTGCGCGAAATCCTATTTTGCTTATACGAAGGTAAGTCAAAAATTATCCGTATTTTCGCCATAACATATCCTTAGGTTTGTCACAATACCGTCTGCCCATGCTTGCTTATAGGTGGTGTTATTGCTGTCACGTGACCGAATTTTGAGTTTGATGGCGCCAGTTTTCTTGCTGCTATTACAGTGTAAATACGGCCGCTTCGCTAGCAGTTTGTACCAAAGAAAGAGTAATGAAGTCAACTGATGCTAAAACCTCTGGGAGAGTAACAGAACTCATTGCAACTTCTGGATCTACTAATGTTTTCCACTGATAAGAACTGGAATGTTTATATTGAGTCATTTAGTAAGTCTGCTGTTAAGAAAGTTGATTCACTCTGTCGTGCTAGACAATTTTTCTCACCAGAATCTTTCACATTTAGAAATCTATCATGTGTACGTGTCTGGTGCTTCTGCTATGTATCTAGAGATTTTTTTTTTTATAAAATCCAAGGCACAATCTGCAATGCTAACCCGGCACCACGGCTTCAATCACTATTCCCAAAGCTGTAACGTAGCTTCCCTGTGCCTTTTTTAATAAATATTTTATGTCGTTTGTTCTGATGAGCTTTCCTCTTTGGTACACCGACTTCATGAACTTAAGCGTAATACTAGATTGGTAGCTAGATCTCATTATTTTACTGTTGAAATGGCCATAGGTAACCGTAATTTCTATTCTAATCGTTTCTTCTCTCGCACTTCTCACCTGTGGAAATGTTTCGGATTCTTGCTTTCCTGTCAATTACGATGTTTAAAAATTTAAATGCAATGTCAAACGTCATCTTCTGTATTTTTAATGATTTTATTTATATTGCCTTTTCTGCCCACTAACGTTTGTTCAGTTTGTTTTTTGTATTTTTTTTTTAAACTCTCAGTAATCTTTTGCAGCTTAGTGGCAACAGATTAAGAAACTCACATCAATCAATATAAAGTAATCTCACAAACCCTTAATTCATTATTGTCTCTATATTTGGGTAACTTTCTCAGACGGAAAAGTCCACTAATTGTCAACATGTAGCCGATGTTATTGATCTGTGTATAAGTGCTGACGACTGCTTGGATGTCATTTGACCAAATGACAGCCGATGCGAACAAAGCCTATAAAGAGAAAGAAAGAAAATCAGAAAATATATATTATTATATAGAATAAGGTATATTTAAGCAGCAAGTATTCATCCAAGTAAGTTTGATTAAAAAGAATCGATAAGATCCGTCTGTTTAATTTTGTATTGGATTTTTTTTTCCAATTTTTGAATAAGGTGTTGATTATTGTGCTTGAAATTGTGGATAAATTGTCCAAAGTTCTATATCAAAGAACGTCTGTATGTATGTATGCATGTATGTATAGAAGCAGCAATTGTTTTATGGTGAGCTGCGAACAGGGAGCAGAAATGTCATCAAACCTAAGATGCGCTGTAAGGACTGCATCAAAGTTGCACTGAAGAAATGCAACATTCCTTATGAGCACTGGGAAGAATGTGCATCTGATCGCAATAATTGGAACGAGGCTGCACGGAGAGGAAGGTGCCACTTTGAGGAGGAGAAGAGGATGCACGTAAGGCTTAAAAGAGATGTGCGTAAAGGTGTCCACGTTGAACTTCCTGAAGATATACGCAGGCAACTCGGTCTGACGTGTACAGATTGTGGTAGAATGTGTTTATCGATGGCTGGTCTAAGAAGTCACTTGAGAGCGCATCGACGGAAGGCGGCAATTGACTATTAAGCCGTAGACGTCCAGCAACTGAAATGTGATATTTGTGATAAGACATGCAGGTCCAGAAGTGGTTTCCTGCGACATTTTAAATTGCATAATAATGTAACACCCGCTGTTGCACCTCTTAAGTGCCCTGTTTGTGACAGAGTATGTAGGTCCCTTGCTGGGCTAAAGAGCCACATTCGTTCAGCACATTTGTAGATATTCTCCAAAAAGATATGTAGTAATGGCCGTACTCGGACACGAGTTGGCAACCACCATAGAAACAGCAGAAAAGAAAATCAATGAACATCCAACAACGAAAGAAGAAAAGAATTAACATATTATGTGAGTAATTAAGTAAAACAACGAATAAAAAAATATGATTTAAAGAAAAATCAAAAAAAAGGAGAAAAATACCAAAACATAAGGTGTACTGGTACGAATTATCTGTCATGGACAGAATTATGTAAGCTCGCCGCTTTTAATAGTGCAGAAAGGAAATCATTCTCTTCTTTGGCCAGCTCTACGATTTACGGATGTCTCATGTCTCTTTTTTCACCAGTTACCATACTGCACTGACATGTCTTGTTTTATTCCGCTCTAGACTCCATATTATAAATAGGTGACTATCATTTTCTCCTTGCTTACCTTTAAGGGAACTTTCGCACCAACATTCACCTGAAAATTATGAAAATTGTTATCACTCCTTCAGGGAATATTTCTGTGTTCGATTCCAGGTGTGGATACAATTATATCGCATGCATAATTGTCACAATGACCTGTTGTAGTAAATTACGCTATGTAAATAAATGTCTCTTTTGAATGTAACCTTATATTATTCTAGTTAACACGTGGGGGCCTCTGCTTCCAGAAAGACGCGCTTCATATGTCGTGAATCTGATAAGTTTTAACTTAAACATAAACCATGACAGCATCATAAATACCACAATGACTTCTGTGGGTTATCCAACTTTCCTAAAAAAATCCATCGCTAGGGGACACTCCTTAAGTCTATAAATAAGCAATGATATTTTGAACTCATTTCCTTTCCTCTTTTACTGACTATAAGATGTAGTCGCACTTGGAGAAAAAAGTATCCCCCAGTGAGGCACGTACATATTCAACGTCCTACTTTTCTCTCGTGATTTTTTATACTCTTTCACACACGTGTATATCACGTAGGTCTACAGAAACTTCACACACACAAACACGTATTCTTTAGTTTAAATGTTTTTTATGTAATTAGTCTTTAAATGTTTCCTTCTTTTATTGCAATCGTAATACTTTTCTTAATACATGCATTGTCGTTTGTTTTATATATTGTGTTATTCATTTATTACTCTGACTCATATTCGAGTCCGCAACAATTGTTACGGGAAAAATATACCAGGAGACACGTGTTTTCTACATAAACACAACAAGCATTTCAGAAACACTTCCTGTTTACTAGATACGGCATCATACAAGGGACGTTCCAAAAGTAATGCCTCTTATTTATTTCCATGGGATCTACAACAGATACAGAACATTTTTTGCAGCTAAAAAAAAACACTATTTATCCATATAGTCACAACAATTTGTTAACCAGTACTCTCGAAGTTATCACTGACTAGATCCAATGAACCTCCTGATTATGGATGACAACATAACAAATAAGTACAGGGTGGTCTAAAAGTCTTGTCACCCCATACCAAAACGTAAAGAAAACAATAGAACAAGTAATAAATTAATACAATGCACATATACTGGATTCAGTTAATTCACTTTCATTGACGCTGTCACACATCGAGACGGTCTGTATGAACAACCATCATTTTTGTGGTACAAAATGATGCGACGACTGTTTGATATTTTACGAAACTAAGCTTTGTTGATTGTTGCAAAGGTTTTCCGAACGGCGTCCTTCAACTGATGGGTATTCTGGTATCGTTCATGTGATAATACCCCACAATTTCTCGGGTTTCTGTATCGCATTTTTCACCGTCTGTTACTAAACTACACGGAAAGTTAAATTTAAATTTCTATGTGTGATTGATTTTGATGTTCCCAATAGCAGGGCCGGGCCGGGCCGGTGCAAGCGTCTCGTGCCCACTTCCCACTCTACTACATCTCAATTTTCTTAACGTAGTATTCATAGACAGTACAAATTTTGTTGTAACCTAATTATGTACAATAATGGATCATATGCAATACAGGTGAACAATTCATCTAGTAAAATTGAAAATAAATATAATGTATCTAAATACAAATTAGAGACATATTGTAATAAATCATTCTCTTTTAAAGAAATTGTCGGAGTTAGCTCCTCCTCAGCTACTTAACCCTTCACCAGGGTTCTCTCTCCCCTGGCTATAAATACTGGCTGACCCTTCGCCTCGATCTCTTTTTTTCGTCAGGCCTTCGGCCTTATACCACCTCGCAGATGTGAGCTCTCACAGATACAGCGTTTCCCAAATTCTGGGAACATGCTAAGAACAATACACGTACGTACGAACACTCACCACAACACAACACACACACATACATAATATTCACCACACGCACTCTGTCAATGTAACTGTCCCTGTAACTTGTAACCTTTCTTGTTATTAATACATATATTTGTTTACATATATTTATCGGTCTTGTGTTTGTTTTTCTTTGGACTTAATTAAAGTCCAACTTTTTCATGTAGTTGGAGCGGCTAGCAGGAAAATTTTAACCCACGTGTATTCTTGTACAAACTCATCACCGGCACGGTCCGCTACAAAATCAACAATGTTTTGTGGCAATTTTTAACTTCAACTCAAGATTTCTCTGTTTTTAACAGAGAAATCTCGAGTTGAAGTTAAAAATTATGTATAATTTTAACACATTCAACATTATGAATAAAAAATAAGTGAATTTTATATTATGTTTCTTTAGAGACTTAACATGAACAAAAAGCAATTCACGGATTTAAACAACCCCCCCCGAATAACGTCAAAAACCCGAATATTTATTATCCTTTAATAATCGTCAGTAGTGCTTAGTTAAATTTATAACGTATATAAATGTACGTAGAAAAAAAAATCAAATGTTGATAAGGTACCGAGGGTCACAAAGTACTGTTCGAGGCCCCCAATCAGGCTTCCCTTTGGTCTAGGGGCTCGGGGTTAATACGAATCGGCCCTACCCAATTAATACATACATTTGTTTACATATATTTATCGGTCTTGTTTGTTTTCTTTGTTTTCTTTGGACTTAATTAAAGTCCAACTTTCTCATGTAGTTGGGCCGGCTAGCAGTAGTGCTTAGTTAAATTTATAACTTTAGTTCACCTACTAAAAATACTAGAATCCTTTAAAAATAACGTTTATTATTTTTTAATTGCAGTTTAATAGATGGAGTCCACATATCAGACTAAAATGAGCCAAAAGCCTCAGAATTCCAAATCTAATTCTTTATATAATCTCCTAATTTCTCAATCATTTTGAATGAAGACATGTGTCCCTGCTGCATAATTATAAGCGAGCTGCTGTTTTCACATTATCATTGATAGATAACCTCTGGTATCTGAGTGTTTTCTTGATGGGCCCCGCAAAAAACTGATGGTTAGCAACCACCCTCTGCTCCTTCGTCGAGTCTGTCTGCATTCTGGGAAAGGACTGTATGAAACTGCAGCCACAACTATAGCTCATCTCATTACCGACTAATGGATCGGGTTTCCTATCAAAAACGGGAGTTTAGAGTTATTTCCCTTTATCTGCAGTTTTAACGTGAGAAAAGTGCAGTCTATTAATCGTAGAAACAAAGTAAAAAAAATACTTACAGTAAGTAACAATGCTGGGATCGGAGTTTTTCTTTTAATGTGTATCATAGACAAAAATCGCGGCAATAACTGACATCGGCCGGCTGTATACATTGCCCTGCGTACGATGTACAAAAAAAAAGGGAAAAATACATTTGATTAGGACTATTTTTTCTTCGATTAATTACTCGAAATAAATAATGACTGAATTAAAACATCAAATATTAAATATTAATTATTTTGACAAAAAAAAAAATCTTTTTTCGTTTTTTTTTTTAATACAATAGTTGTCCTTCAATTGTTATTAATTTTTAGGGGATAAACTTATAACTAAAAAAATTGAAAGAGATGTTGATCATATGGATCTCTAGAGCAAAAAGAAAAAATTAAAGTGATGTTGATTGCATGGATCCAGAGAAAAATTGAGAGACATGGTCTCTCAATTGATTGCATGGATCTAGAGAAAACATTGAAAGAATTTAATTGAATGAATCCAGACGAAAGATTGAATGTTGACTGTATAGATACTGTAGTGATTACTACTATGTTGCCACGCCTACATTTTTCTCAACTGTGATTGGTCAAATAATATATACTAAATATCACAGGACAATTTACTGATCGCATTCACCACACTGAATTTTTCCTACCGTTAACTCACAAACATGCTTTTGTCATAAAATCACCGATTAGTTAATTTTTCGTCCAATCAGATATTTTTCGTGTTCTTTCAAAATTTATCCCGTGTTCGTGCTGGATAGTAATATAAGTTCGGATTCATTCCCAAATTAAACAGTAGAGTTGAAACCAAGACAGCTGAAGACAGTAGAAATCAACTACTCACACGCGTCTACACAGACTATTCATTCTACTCACTCCGCACGCACACACACAGACAGAGAACTTGAATATCATTCACCATCAATTCTTTATGAACAAGCCAAGTTGCAACACCTCTGTTAGTTATAAAAAATGTACAATTGAACTTTCTGTATGTTCTTCTAAATACACATTCTATTTTAACACAGAACTCATATTATATTCATTATATTCAGAAAACTTGCTCATTTAAATATCACCATATTCAACTAACAGATAAAGGGAAACTACTTTTTTCTCCTTATTCACACATTACAGAAATTACCTTGTATTTGTTGTTTTTAACATATATTTTATCGTTGAAATCGGTTTTCCATTGTTTTTCCTTGATTTCAAAAACTGTATAAATGTTAAATGCTCTTCAACACGCAGCCACATTAATCTTTTCAACAAAACACCATTTACATTGGTAACCCCAACACTTAAGGAAGCAGCATTAACAATACAGACAAAATATTGAAAGAAATGTTGATTGCATGGATTAGAGGAAAATTGAAAATCTTAATTGCATGGATCTAGAGAAAATATTGAAAGAATTTAATTATATAGATCCAAAGGAAAGACCGATATAAATGTTGACGGTATGGATCCAGAGAAAAAAAATGAAAGAGATGTTCATTGTATGGATCCAGGAAAAAATTGATGGAAATGTTGAGTGCACGGATCTAGAGGAAAAATTGAAAGAAATATTGATTATATGGACCCAGGAGAAAAAACGAGTAATTGTTTATTGAATAGATTCAGAGAATAAAATTAAAATAGATTTTGATTGCATTGTGACATCTCTGGTAAACGGAAAGATAGGGGTTAAGTTAAAAATGGAAGCTTGGGAAAAAGACGAAGGGGTTTAAAGAAGAGAACGATGGAAAGACTGAGAGAAAGCAAGATTTCTTTTAGTTTCAAAAGTCTATTTCTTTTTAGGGCAGAGATAACTCGAAGAAAAGTGATTCTGTTTACAAGATATTACCACAGGGGCCATATGGCAATACTTAGCTGACAGCTGATTGATGACACTGCCTAAGGAGTGCCAGTTACAAAAACACAAATCGAGCGATAGAAATTGGACAATTTAAAAGATAGAACAGAATTGGAAATTGTAAACTAGTCAAGAAGGTAGAATTTCCTTATGTAAAATCCCAACATATGTTTTTTTAAAGTGCAATGACCCTATAGATAACTGACCGGAGGAAACAGCTGGTAAATTTCTAATTGTATAAACAAAACCACGCTGGGAAAATTTGCTGACGAGAAATTAAAATGATAATTTTAATTAATGACCATGAACTAAGCCGCGTCACACGGTTGAAATCCAGATTGGTCAAAGGACAACCAAGGTGACAGACGCAGGTGAAACATCAAGAAGGACGGAGGAATTCCCTACGTCCATTGGTAATTGTTAGTGCGATGCTCAAATAAGAGAAAGAAAGAGTTGGGCAGATCGATATACTGTGACCGCTACCCATCGAAAAAGAGATCTCTTCAAATTTGGAGATATAATTAATTGTCCATAGCCAGGCAACAAAGAAGCACTTGTCGTAAGATAGGGGAAACACCGAGACCCCTAACCACGTCGACCCCATGATAGTTTTGGGTTAAAATTAATATAAGCAGAACACTGAAGTGATTAAGCCAGGTTCCAGAGAATAGTTGTTCCAGACGACAGACGAGAGACAACGACTCTGCCGAATCCCACGTGACTTGCTGTCAGAGAGAACCTTCGACTTAGGCCTTGTTCTAGACTTAGCTAAATTGAGCACGATAGCATTCGAAGTGGGAAGAGGTAATACTTCTGTATCAAGAACTAATATTTCTGTACAAAGAACGATATAAACCACATAAAAATAGACCTGGCTTTTCTTTATTTCGTCTGCAAGAACATTTTTTTTATTTTTTCCTTTGTGACATAGCTTTGCTGGAATCAAACCAACACTACAATTACTGACGACAATTTGATCTTTGCCATCTTTGTGATCAATCAGCACAATGTGGGAAGAGAGAAGCTCAGATCGGAATGACCAACTCCAACGGTAGCATTGGCCAGGGACCTACCGGCAAGAATAGTTACATTTGGTTACCGTAGACCAGATTGTCTCTACGTGTTACAGTATCGACCTATAGTAAAAACTTTGTTTAAAGATTTCAATATATTTAAAAATACCATTTTAAAAAATACAAAGTAAACAACAAGTGTTCATACATCTGAAGCAAAATCAACTTACCGACTGCATTTAAATAAAACGACATTTAAAATTCCCGATGCAGAAAGTGCGACACAAGGCAAAACGAACCATTTCATGTATCCAAGTTTGCGTTCGCCAAACACCTGAAAACATGACATAACGATTTTTTGATGAAAAAAGCGAAAGATTAAAAAAACTGAATAACAAGAGTCTTAAATGTCAATGTAACGGGAGTGAGATATGGAAGAAAGATTTAGTCTCCTATTTGTATTTCACGCGTTATGGACATTATTGTATCCGTGATATAATAACAGCGTACTTCAAGGACGGAACGGAGTGGCTGAAAGGAAAAAGAATGATAAACATTCTTAGTTCTCAGAGAGACTTTTATCCTGCTAAGACATACACAAAACTATATATATATATATATATATTAAGAAATGGACAAGGTCCGACAATTTATTTATTAAAGACATTTTATTATGTTTAACGTTGTTATTTTATAGATACAAGTATTTAAGCAAATGCTCTGTTTATGATAAACAGTATTAAATAACATTTACCGGCCTGAATGTCCGAGAAATTTTCATAGAAAATATTCGTTCTTTGACAGGATTCGAACCTGCATCCTATACGGAACCGTCATATACGCTGACGTGCCTTACCGCTAGGCTACAAAGAGGCGTTCGGTAGACAAGGTCGAATTTATGCTTATAAACTCCAATTTTCCATGAATCTCGTACATTCATAACTGCCTGGCGTATCGAATGTAAAACAAATGACGTCATATATTAAGAAATGGACAAGGTCCGAGACATTTTATTATGTTTAACGTTGTTATTTTATAGATACAAGTATTTAAGCAAATGCCTGTTTATGATAAACAGTATTAAATAACATTTACCGGCCTGAATGTCCGAGAAATTTTCATAGAAAATATTCGTTCTTTGACAGGATTCGAACCTGCATCCTATACGGAACCGTCATATACGCTGACGTGCCTTACCGCTAGGCTACAAAGGTCCGACAAATACTTAAATATTTTCCCAAATTGAGGACTGCCAGCTGGAGTTTCTTTCTATATCTGGAAAAGATATATTCCCCAAAGGGAAACGACACCATGGACTTGTAGTTTTATTAGTTTGGGCCGAGCGCGTTGAAATATGGCGGATCAAACGGTATTTTTTTCCTACAAAGGGGACACAGGTTGGGACTCTGCCGTGGAACACATTTTCTTTATTTGATTGATTGATTGATTCGTTTTTTACGGACTGTCAACCCTTTGCCAGTTATTTAAAACCAGAAAATATTTTTGGATTATAAGAAATTTTTTGAATTTGTTTTAAAGATAATAATGATTTAGTGATACAAGTCTCACTACTTAACCCATTGCTGGGGGAGAAGAAGTGGATTCATACCTTTCCCGAGGGTAATTGAGCGTATGTAAATATAACAATTAGAACTCGGTTCTCCGATTAACAAGCCATTATACATTACGCCACCTGCACACCCACCCTTAAAGCACCTGGTATTCCCAAGCGGTCATCTATTTAGGTACTTAACTTTCGTGATCACAACGTGATGCAGCCGTAAGCCAATTTTAAGTTTTCACGAGTGCGCAGGTCGATAGACTTAATGCACACCATTTAAAATTAAAATTAAAATAAAAACGAAGCGTCTATTTTAAACACCAACATCCACAAAAATAATGTTTGGAGTAATATATACACACATATATATATATATATATATATATGTAGATAGATAGATAGATAGATAGATAGATAGATAGATAGATAGATAGATAGATAGATAGATAAAGAAAGAGAGAGAGAAAGCGTGAAAACAAAAAGAAGTGGAAAATACAATGATAATGAAAGAGGAAGATGAAAAAGAAAGAAAACATAAGAGAACAAAAAAAAAGAAAGATTGAAAGTAAGGAAAATAGGAAAAAAAGAGACAGAAGACAAGAAAGAAAGAAAGAAAATGAAGAACATGAGAAAAAGAAAATGCCTAAAATTGAAAAAAAAAAAAAAAACAAAAGGGGGGAAAACGAAAGTAGGGAAGAAAAAGCAAAAACAAAAGAAATGCCAGAACATTCGAAAGAGTGGAAGCAAAGAAAACGAGAAAATGAGAGAAAGCAGAAAAAAAAAAGGAACGAAAAAGGGAAGGAAAGAGAAAGCATGAAAATGTCAAAGAAAGAAAGAAAGAACATGCGAGAAGATAAGAGAATTCGAAAGATTGAAAGCAAGGAAAATAGGAAAAAGAGAGAAAGCAGAAAGAAAGAACGAAAAACAAGAAAATGGCAAAGAAAGAACGAAAGAATGAAAGAATGAAAGAATGAAAGAATAACGAGACGAAACCATAAACATTTGATGAATGTTTTAACTCATGGTTTCGATACAAACATAAAGCAGCATTTCATCCAAACAGGTTGGAAAAAAATGAGTATAATCATATAAGACTCACCACACCAACTGCAATGCCAGAGAGAATTTCATTGTTGCTCAGAACTGCATGGTATGCAACATTAGCCAGCAAATAGACAAACACTGATATACCCAAACCAACAGTTATTGCTACGGGAACGATTCTGTACAATTAAAAATAAACAAGAAAATGATTAAATTTCAATTCAGAATAATTAAATACGTATTTGTGTGATGCAAGAGATTCTAACATTATTTTTACAAAATATTTTAAACATATAAACTCATAGCATCATTATTCAATCATCAAGCATTCCTTGATCTTCTAGCTGAAGTGTGTATGTAAACACAAAAGAACGTTTTCATTTGAACAATTTTTAAAGGGATTTCACGATATCGTGATTACCATACTGACGGAAGCTAGAATATGCTGATTGCATATATACAGAGTGTTATGACCTCACTCCATCACTGAAAAGGGACCATCTATCAAGTAAATTCTTGCAAATTCAATATTTACCAATTCCAGAAGCTTAGAGTAAATTATTACACATTTAAATAGAAACGAACCAATTAAAAGGTTATAAATTCAGATATTAACAACCAATATTTACTCCTTCAAGAACGAAATAAATGCAAATAGACTCAAATAGAAATGACCGATATTTACCGAACTAATTAAAAGCTTATAGATTCAGATAGCAGCGACAATTATTTCCCCGATTACAAAGAAAGTCAATGTTTATATACTGAAATAGAAACTACCAGTATATACCTATTCCTGAACCAAGTTAACGACTATAGATTCAGATATGAACGAGCAATTTTTACCGCACCCCAAAGCAAGTAAATGTTTATTCGTTCAAATAGAAGCGACTAATATTTACCTATCCCTGTACTAATTAAACCATACAAGCTCAAAGAAAAACGACCAATATTTACCTATTCCTGATCCAAGTAAAAGGCTACAGTTTATGATATCAACGAACAATATTTACCCCTGGAATAATGAAATAAATGCATCTATATTCAAATAGAAACGACCACTAATAACCTACCCTGGAACCAAGTAAAACGTTATAGATTCAAATATCAACGACTTATATTTACCGTTTAATGAACTAAATAAATACATATAGATTCAAATACCAATATTTACCTACATCCAAACCAAGTAAAACGTTATAGATTCAGATATCAACGATCAATATTTATCCCTCCAAGAACGAAATAAATGCACACAGACTCAAATAGAAAAATACAATAATTACCTATCCCCGAACGAAGTAAAACGTTACAGATTCAGATATTAACAACCAATATTTTGCCATTCAAGAATAAATGCACACAGTCCAATATTTACCAATTCTCGAACTAATTCAAAGCTTATTGATTCAGCTACCAACGAGAATTATTTACTCCACTACAAAAAAGGTAAATGGATATTTACTTGACCCCCCCAATTGAGTCAGGTTGTGTCACAAGGTCAGTTTTTAACGTGGGAACCCGAGTGTTTTCACTCGGGCCGCTGGTCTAAGCAGGTCTTAGCTGGTCATAGCTTGTTCAAGCTGGTCAGAGCTGGTCTAAGCTAGTCATAGCCGTGATACTTACCTGGCACAGGAACGGAGCCCTGTGCCAGGTAAGTATCACAAGGAAGGTAAATGTTTATATGCCGAAATAGAAACTACCTATATATACCTATTCCTGAATCAAGTTAACGGTGATAGATTCGGATATGAACGACCAATATTTACCCAACTCGAAAGCAAGTAAATGTTTATTCGCTCAAATAGAAGGGGCCAGTATTTACCTCCCCACGAACTAAGTAAACCCTTGCACGCCCAAAAAGAAATAACCAATATTTATCTATCCCGAACCAAGTAAAAGGTTATAGATTTAGATATCAACGACCAATATTTACTCCTCCAAGAATTAAATAAATGCACACAGACTTAAATATAAACGACCAGTATTTACTTAACCCTGAATGACGTAAAAGGTTATAGATTCTGGTATCAACGACTGATATTTACCCCTGAAATAACGAAATAAATTCATATAGAATAAAATAGAAAAGACCAACAATTACTTACCCACGAACCAATTAAGAGGTTACAGATACAAATATCAACGATCAGCATTTATCCCGCCAAGAACGAAATAAATGCACACGGACCAATATTTACCTATCCACAAACCAAATAAAAGCTTCAAATATCAACAATTATTTACCCCACCACAAAGCAAATGTTTATACGCCGAAACAGAAACTGACAATATTTACCTATTCCTGAACCAAGTAAAAGGTTACATACTCAAAGAGAAATGACCAATATTTACCTATTCCCGAACCAAGTAAAAGGTTATAGATTCAGATATGAACGACCAATATTTACCCATCCCCAAAACTAGTAAATGTTTATTCGCGCAAATAGAAACGACCAATATTTACCTATTCCCGAACCAAGTAAAAGGTTATAGATTCAGATATGAACGACCAATATTTACCCATCCCCAAAACGAGTAAATGTTTATTCGCGCAAATAGAAACGACCAATATTTACCTATTCCCGAACCAAGTAAAACCGTACACGCCCAAAGGGAAACGAACAATATTTAACTATTCCTGAACCATGTATGAGCTTATACGCTCAAAGAGAAACTACCAATATTTACCTATTCCTGAACCAAGTAAAAGGATACAGATTCAGATATGAACGACCAATATTTACCCACTCTTCAAAGCAAGTAAATGTTTATACGCTCAAATTGGAGTAGATAGGCTTACCTATCCTCCGGTCCACATTTCTACGTCTATTGAACAGAAGTAGAAGGTCATCCCTTGTTCCCTGTTTAGGTTATGATTTGCTTGTTCTTACTTTCTTCTTTTGCCTAAAAGATTTCCAACATCCACATGCATGACCTTAGTGTTTACATCCGGGATAATCTTCTGATGGCCAGGGAATTATCTTTGGAGGCCTCAGACAACTCTTTCATGTGCTTCCGTCTTTCATTACTAAACTCTGTTAGCTATCTTTTATTCCTTTATCTCTCACCTCTTCTCAGGACTGTAGTATATTGACCATAATATCCGATATTATAGAAAGAGGCACTTTCTCTCCATCTTTTTGCGAATATCTTTGTCGTCTGTAACTTCAATGCGTACCACAATACGTGGCTTAAACATTCCAAAGGTACTGATATTGCTGGTATTCTGGCATTAAATTGTTATATTGCCCAATCCCTTACTCAAATCGTGGATTTTTCTACTCGTCTCTAGCAAAACCGAGCATGCTGTTTGGGACTCACTCCCTTGGACTGACATCATCCACCTTCCCACTGAGAATAGAACCACTGATTTTTCTTCTAGGGTCAAAGCTGACATGGATGCTTTCATTCCTTCACGGAACTATCAGGTGAAATCACAACCCTCTCCATGGTTCACACCAGCAGGCTCAGCTGCTATGGCACACATGAACCACTATTTTCAGGTATACAATCATGACGGCTTCCATCATAACGTATGTAGCACTGAGGCCCAGGGAGTTAATCAGAAAATAAGAAAAAGGAAGTGGAAAGAGACTACTAAATGAATGATAATTGTTCAAATTCTCAGGAAAGTAGAATGAAAAGTTGAGAAAAAAATTAAAAACGAAATGCGTTAAAACAAATATGTTTTAAAATAATAAAATGAAACCAAGAACAAAATTCCAAGGAGAATCGAACCCAAATTTATAAGATGGATTTCAATAAAATTGATCAAAACCAAGATCAACAATCATTCTCCACTTCCCACAAATAAGAAAGTGATAATTAATGTATCATGTTTTGAAGAAATTCCTAGAAGCCTTAAACAATACCGAATTGTTTCATTATCTTTCTTCGTAGGCTGTTTTTTCAGATAAGAAATATGGGTTTCTCCAGATCAAATGCTGATGTACTGACGATAATCCCGGTAAGAGTCTATTATGCTTTAGATAAAAACGGTGACATCTCGAAAGCTTTTAACGTAGTTTGACATACAGGTCTTCTCCACAAGCTGAAAAGTTACGGTGTCTCTGGATATATTTTTTAATTAATCCAATCTTTCTTATCAAATCATGAAATGAAAGTCATCCTGAACGGTCACTCATCTAGGTACATTTGTACTAACGCGGGTGTTCCCCTGCTTCCATCCTTTGCCTTACTTTGTTTTTAATTTTCATTAATGACCTTCCCGATGAGATCAGCTCTCAACTTGGTCTCTACACCGATGACACAACTAATTGTTACCTGTCTCGAAAGTAAGGATGATCAGTCCGACAAGGCAGTCGATGTCCAGAACGACCTCAGGTCTGTTCTTAACTGGGGCAAAAGATGGCTTGTTAAATTTAACGCCCACAAAACTAAACTTATCTCCATTAATCATCTGAGAAAATGCTCTCTGCCTTCCATCAGTATAGCTGATACTAACATCTAGGAAAGTGACACGCTGCAACTTCTCGTGCTAACGTTCTCAGCTGACATGAAGTGGAAAGACTATATTGAATCCATTGCTAGGCCAGCTGTTAAGAAAGTTGGTTCACTGTGTCGTGCGAGACAATTTTTCTCTCCAGGATCTATCTTACATACCTATAAGTCTACTATTCGTCCATGCTTAGAATATTGTTGCCATATATGGCTTGGTGCCCCTGTCATTTATCTGGAGCTCCTTGATAAGAATCAAAGAAAAACAGCAATACTATTGATCCTTATCTGGCGGCTCGGCTTCAGTCACTTTTCCCACCGTCGTAAAGTTGCCTCCCTGTGTCTTTTCTATAAATACTTTCATGGTAATTGTTCGGATTTTTTCTTCAGAATCTATCATACATATCTATACCTACCATTCACCCAAGCTTAGAATATTGCTGCCACATATGTTCCGGTGCCCCTGCTATTTACCTTGAGCTTCTTGATAAAATTCAAAGAAGAATCAGCAATATTATCGGTCCTGATCTGGCAGCTCGGCTTCAGTCTCTTTTATACCACCGTAAGTTTGCCTCGCAGTGCCTTTTCTATAAATACTTTGATGGTAATTGTTCAGATGTGGTCTTCATGCATATCTATAAGTCTACCATTCACCCAAGCTTAGAATATTGCTGTCACATATGTTCCGGTGCCCCTGCTATTTACCTTGAGCTTCTTG